CCGCTGTCTGTCTGTTTGTCTGTCTTCCGCTGTCTGTCTGTCTGTCTGTCAGTCCGTTTGTCTGTCCGTCTGTCTGGTTGGTTATTTGTTTTCACTTTTGCTTATGAGATGAATCATGACAATCCTAAAATAATGGAAATTATTTATGGTTAAATTCACAGGGTAATGATGACGATAACTGCTTATCTAGTGAACCAACACAGTTGACCCAACAAAACTTGCAAAATCTGAAATACCTGTATGACTACAAGTGCGTTGTCTCAGGAGGCGAGAGGTATTTTCTTCTTGGTGTTGGGGTGAGTAGAAATACCTACAGTTTCTTATCTATTTGGGCTCCCTGTGCTTGAACCCATTGCTACACAACTATTGGCGTGTGCTCAATCAAGGCAGCGGCTCAATCGGAATCTCTTGCTTACCGTGCTTTTTTTGGAATTTTCAGCGTTCAGTTGTTTACAAATGGAATGGTAAACCAAACTACAGTGGTTCTCGGTGGTCGAAGCTCGATAAATGTACTACAGCGATACCAAAGGATACTCTTATTGACGCTGAAATTGTGTCAGAACTACAAGGAGAGGTAGGTTAAGCACGTGATCAAATCCCATGATCTTATATCGATACAGAAAGATATTGCCGCTGAAATTGTGTGAGAACGACACACCTTGCGTAACACTTTCTTCTTCCCATTATTCTTCCCATTTCATTCTACGGTCAATACCACTCAGTTTCAGTTCTCTTATAGTTCTTAGTTTATTTACTTATTTCGTAAATACCACTGTGATCCTTGACTAAAGACTCATTTGAAGAGAAAATCATTCACTAAGTTAAATGGGTAGCTGACTTAAAAACGAGGCTAAAACTGTATAAATCAGTCTGTGGTAATCTAAAACAGTAATCTCTCACCAAGACGTTCTTATGGTCGTCACGTCGTCACGAAACGTTTCTCTCTCCAAGTGACGTTGCGTGACGACGTGATGATCCAAATAACGTCTGCATTGGAGGTTACTAATTTTACAACGGTAAACATGGGGTCAAAAAGATTCTTATTGTCGTTCTTCAGGGAAAAGGTCAGCGACGTTCAACAGCAATCCATATCTTGGACGTCATTGTGCTGGGAGGAATTGATGTCAGGGATAAGCACCAAACAGAGAGGTATGACTACATGAGAATCGACTATCTGCGGGGGGGGGGGGGAGGGGGTACCCAGGGGATCTTAGTGTGCTTCTGAAACCTTTGGAAAAATGGTGTGACCTTTTAGTGTAAATGGTCAAATTGAGTGGGAAACGATTTCTGCTTAACTTTTTCCAGGGAATTCTTCGATTGCACGTTACGTCATCGCGGCCATGTTGGTGCCATTTAAYACAAGATTTCTCATTAGCATCCACTGTTAACGGCACCACAATGGCCGCCATGCTTTTGTCTTTTAACTCTCTTAGGAATGCTTGCAACCCATCAATTCTAGCCAAGCTCTTAGGAAACTGAACATTTTAACGATTGTTTCTGATGTCTTCACAGGATATCCATGGCTCAGTTGTTTGCAAAAGCATTAAAGAAACCAACTCGTCAAGACTTAGTGCCACTTCGGTACGAAATACTCCAGTTGTGAATTTTGTATTGCTCCGAGTTGGCCTCGATTTTTTGTAGAATATTCATGTGTTCCAGTGAAAGTCTATGGAATTTCAAAGTGTTTGTATAGTTGATATTGTGCATTCTTTACTTTACCGTTAGTATTTCTGAATATTCTTACGCTGAATTGAGGCTAACCTGAGTAGATGAGTCAGTAATCAATGAACACAGCGGTATCTTACTAATCAGTTGAAGTTCTATTCACAAGGACGGCGTAGTTATAAAGAGAGTTAGTTGGTATGACCTAAAATGTAAAAGTCTTGTAGAGTGCATACCATATATCAGTAAAAACTAACAAATTAGTGCAAAGTTTTGTAGGTCGACATTCTACTGAACGTACACTAATTTGTGAACATTTTTGCAGCTATAGATTCCGTACTAAGATTTTCACGGATATATGATATGTACTCTAGTCTAGTTAACCAAGTGTCTTCAGCATATCTCGTTCTCMACTCACCTCGTAGTAAGAGTCCTCCAGCATCTTTCTGCTTTTTCTGGCGTCAAACCGCTGACCCAAAACCCGGAGGACTCTGGGCTCGAGATTGCACAAAATGGCGTCCATCTGATTTTGTTGAAGGTCTTTCTGACGGTGATTGGATATATTATGTCCCAAACTACCAATCATCTTCTGGCAGGTCTGATTTAAATATTGTCGTTTGTTCCTTAATTCATAGTGTCAAGCAGTCTTTTCGCCTGGAAGCGGTCAAAGACATCTTTAACAAGTAGGTTTATGTTTCTATTTTTCTATTTTAGTCTTACTATATCCGCTTTATCATGACGTCATTTATATGTATTCCAATATCTGATGACGTCATGTTATTTTTTTTCTAATTAGATTAATGAAGAAATAGAAAACGCGCGCGCGTGCTGTGTGCAGTTGTTAAGCACGCGGGGAATTTGCAGAACACGAGAGAAGTGTTAGGAGAAGACGATGGGGAGCGGATTGCTTCTCGACACTTTTCGAGTGTTCTGCCAATCCACAAGTGCTTTATAACTCCACACAGCACAGCACAGCAAGCAAGTTTTTATTTCTTTTATAAAATGCAAAGGGCGCGTGCGTGCCTGCTGTGTGCTCATAAAGCACACGTTCCCAACCAATCAAAATGCGAGATTTATAACAGTTATTATATAATAGAATCTATTATATCTTTATATATATAAATATATATAGTTATGTCTATTTAACGATCATTAATTATATGACTTTGTTTCACAGGCCAAGAAAAATCCAATCTAAAAATACTTTTAACTCTGTTTACGTGATGCAAGATCCACTAAGCACCTTCATTTGTTGAACAGGTTTGAGATGCGATTTGTGAAAGGTAGAAGAGAGCCCAGAGAATGTTTCTCCATCGACGACGAAAAACACTTTATTCCCAGGGGAATTTATTTTACTAAACATATACAAGGTATTTTATTTTTGTATTTTTCATTTTACTTTGAATATTTTTTTGTTTTTTATTCTAAATTCTTTTTTGAATATTCTATTCATTATTTTCATCCAATGCATTTTTATAACTTTTGTAACTTATTTGATAAGCAAAATATATTTTTCAGCATCACGAGAGCAAAACGACAAACTATTTTGAACAACAATAGTCTTTAATTTTCAATATAGTAACTTAATTTTGCCTCTGAAGTATTTGAAATAAAATTTACATTCCAATATGCAATAGATTATGAAATTTAATACAGCTTTAAAGTTACTTGAATACGCTACAAAACAACACAAAAAAGCTTAGAATTTTCACATTTTGAGGCCATATTCCTAAGTTCAACTCAAAGAGCTAGAAAGTCATTTCTCTTATGATATAACATATAAATGTTTGTATTAGAAATCTTGAACTTCTTTATTTAGAAGAATTTCCTTTGCCGCTCAATGGCTGCTGGTGTATTTCGTCACCGCCTTCGTTCCTTCACTTACGGCATGTTTTGCAAGTTCTCCAGGCAACAGAAGTCGAACTGCGGTTTGTATTTCACGCGAAGAGATTGTAGACTTCTTATTGTAGTTTGCAAGTCTCGAGGCTTCCGCGGCAATGCGTTCAAAGATGTCGTTCACAAACGAGTTCATGATGTCCATCGCCTTGCCTGAAATGCCTGTGTCAGGATGTACTTGTTTAAGGACTTTATAGATATAGATAGAATATGCTTCTTTGCGTTTTTTAGTCCGCTTTTTTCCACCAGGTCCGATAGTCTTTTTCCCAGCACTTTTTTCGCCTTTTTTGGCCTGTGATTTCGGTTTTGGCGGCATATTGCTTTCGTTCATCTGATCTACTCAGTCTTACAAACGCTTTTACAATGAGTATGAATCGATAAGTATTTTAAAAGTAATGCTTTTATCTGATTGGCTCATAGTCACGTGCAAGGAAAGCGTGCAGGAATATTCTGGTGTTCTGATTGGTCAATTGTTTGGGTTTTAATCCGGGACAAAACGAAATTGAAAGTGTGAAATATCTCGCTTCCAGTTCGTTTTTGAAACTAAGTGAGCCTGGTTTAAAATATGAAATTTCAAAAAGTCCTTTTTCCTACTTTTATTATTATCTTTTTGCCGTTGACGGCGCCTATTTATTCAACGGGTTTTTCAGTTGGTGAATAAATACTGAACCAGTTAATCAATGATTATTTTTGGCGTGAAACGCAAGTTGTATTCTTGCAAGGAAGAAAAAATGTTCTTCAAAAATATTCTGTTAACGTGTTTTCCCGGCAAAAATAAGTGGTGTATTTGAGCAGGAAGTGGATTTTATCCCTTATTTGCTTTGCCCTTGCCCTTGCCCTTGCCCTTGCCCTTGCCCTTGCCCTTGCCCTTGACTTGGTTTTCTTCTGTTCTTTCCTCTTCTTTTCCATGTTTTTGATTCGTTTTTGTTTGAATTTTTCAAGAAAATATTAATTTGAAATTTACATACATGCTTCGTTGAAGTATTGAAAAAACTTACGTAAATGGTTCGTTTTCTTATGACAGAACCTTGGACACATTGCTTCAGCAAGTCGCGGAAAATGTTATATTTCTACAACAAGCAAAAGAGAAGTTCAACTTACGAATGTCCAAAAGACTCAATCGCATCATTCAAGTAAGTTTATGAAATATTTCTATGACAGAGTTCATGTCGACATTATCGAGAATTTTCCAGAAGTTTTTGAGATGTTTTTTTAACATTGAGCTTAGAACGCTTATTTCAATATTCGTATTGACCTTGTTGTTAAACAACTGTAGTACCCTTCTGAAGTTTTAAAGATGGCGTCCGAAGCTGGCCGACGTGGGGGGGATAACAAGATGAGACAAAAGTTCGTAGTGAAGAAAAAGGAGAAAGTAACATGCAACATACAGCAAAACTTTTGAAGTGTATTTTGCTGTACTTTTATGCCCCGAGAGTGAAAACCACCGTCTCCATCCTATCCTCCTTTCCCTCCCGCCCCCAGGGACTTTAAGATTTGCAAAGTCTACGACGGCAAGGTCAACCGGAAGGGTAAATAATTTCTCTTTAGGGTTCTGTTCATTGGTGATTTCATTCAAAACATTGGGCCAGTAAAGCGATCAACTCATCCAAAGAGAAGACAGACTTCGAAGGCGCGAAACTTCAAAGTGAAGTTATTTACACTTCCTTTTGGCGGTCCTCTCACACCGCCCCGCCCCGCCGCACCCCGCCCCGCCGCACCCCGCCTTGTCCCGCCCCGCCYTGKCCCGCCCCGCCTTGCCCCGCCCCGCACAGTCCCATAACAGGGACTTTAAGATTTGCAAAGTCTACGACGGCAARGTCAACCGGAAGKGTAAATAATKTMTCTTTRRGGTTCTGTTCATTGGAGATTTCATTCAAAACATTGTCAGTAAAGTGATCAACTCATCCACAGGTTAGAGAGACTTTGAAGGAGCGAAACTCCAAAGGAAAATTATTTACACTTCCGGTAGACGTCGCCGTCGTAGATTTTGTAAATCTCAATTTCCCTAAAATCTGAAGAGTCAAATACGTTGAAACTAAGGATATTTTCACATTGTCTTTTAGGACTTCACTCATGAGTCGCTATCTATGGTTAATGGAAGAAATAGATGTTGAATTAGAACACGGGACTAGGTTGGAACGAAGCCAACTTCTGGAATTTATCCAAACGACACATCGAAATCTTGTTGGACAGTAAATCGCATTCAAAACATTGTACTAACGTTATTTTATTAAACCTAGTTATGGATAGTGACGCAAGCATTAGCATAGCAACATACACACACGTCGCAGATAATCAAGAAATAGAAAACGCGCGCGCGTTCTGTGTGCAGTTATAATGCTTTATAACTCCACACAGCACAGCAAGCAAGTTTTAAATTTTTTTTAAGGGCATAAGCGTGCTGTGTGCTCTCATAGAGCACGCGCTCCCATAGAGCACGCGCTCCCATCGAGCACGCGCTCCCAACCAATCAGAATGCGAGATTTGTAACATATTTTTTAATTATTGCTAAATCAGTATTTTGTTCTTTAAAAAAAGGCTGTCGGTGCCAAAGGAGATAGGCGATAGGGGATACATCATCCCAAGATCCAAAAAAAGCTGGAATAACTTGAGTGTTTCTTATTATTCTTGTCAAGAACACGGAGATCAGTGTTGAGATGTTCAGTGTTGCTTGAAGTCAAAAAGTCATTTTTCTATACACTGACTTGAATATTCGTGTTTAGATATATGCCTGTTGCGTACCTCTTTTGCTCAAAAAAACCGTTCGCGTATATGTTGTTAGGTTAATGCTTGCCATCGATCACTATCGCTAGTCAAAACCAGGTCTTAGGTAGCCCACTAACTCCACCAATAGTCTTATTATATTTCATTATATATACTTTAGGTTCTTCGCCACACTTCCAGGCAAAGAGTAGCAAATTTAAAGAAACTTTATATTAGTAACAAAGATCATTCACATTCAAAGCTTGTTTAGTTTTCACATAATTAGTATCGTCTTTTTGTCACTTAAATTTTCTTGGTAAACGCACTCCTTTGATGACTCCTTTGTATCATGCTGAATTGACCGCATTCCCTGAAAGGAATTATGGGTCAACAATTTTGGATTAGCAATTTTGGAGCAGGGACCGAGTACAATGCAGGGTGGGATTCTCCCCGTCGATGAATTCGACTAGCATTTACAATCAATTTAAAAATAAAGAAATCACATTTCATGGGTTCTATCGGCAGAATCATGGAAAATGCTAACCAAATACAGTGTCGAATCTAAATTTTGATTGGTTGATCTTGAGTTTGTTTTGAAGGTCAACTGTGACGCTTGGGTTATTCGGTGGTGTTAATGGGTTGCAACCAAAACTCAAAATCCCTCGAGATATGGATAACAAAAATCAACTAATTTTGAAGAAGAACCACTCTGTGGAATCCACTGTTAATCCCATTATTATTATCATTTATTATTATTATTATTTAATTTTAATTTAGTTTTAATTTTATTATTGTTAAAACAATGAAACACCCGCTATGTTGGTTGATCTAACAAGAGAAGCTGGAGAGCAATGCTTTGTTATCGTCAACCAACATGTCGGCTATGACGTAACGTGCACCCCAAAAATACCACGTGACAGGAAAGGTAGTAAGTTGCAGCTTGTACCCAGATACTAAGGTAGATGCCCGCGCCGGGGTTTACAATAATGCTCAATCCGTTCTCAGTCTGTAACAAAACAGGAGCAGGATATGGGGGGAGTTGCCCTCTAAATATTTTAATAAGGATTTTCTAAGAACTAATAGTTTGAAAGATAGCATTTATTGAAAACGAAAATCTATCCAGGAGTACAAAATTCATCTGTCAAAAAAATAAATACTATCATAAAAATCTCGGGCTGCTGTCTCATTTTTCCATAGGGATTTTGTCAAAAGCTTTCTTCTCGTCTTTCCTTCCCACAAAGAGGAAGAACGAACCGGGGCATGTCGGTGCAAGAGCTGAGACTAGTTATATAAGCGGTACCAGCTAATATAGGCCTTTTGTAACAAACAGTCACGTGCTGATATATGACTTTGATAATAACGAATCAATTCCTCTGCTGGATAGCAAACAAACTTTAAACTTCTTCGTATCCTGAAATCGAAAGTATCTTAAAAGGGAAAAAAAGTATTTTTGAGAAGGTTTTGGATAGGACATTAGTAACCCAGCAAAAAATCTTTAAATAAAGGAAGTCCAAATCACGTTTCAATCTATTGCAAAAGGCCTATTTAGTGAAGCAGAGTGATTTCATGCACACCAACCAGTGGCTAGCGGGTATAGGAGAGTGACATTTCCCCGTCCTCCGACCACTCCCTTGTAAACCCGAGGCATTATCAAAGCGCATAATTTTATAGTAGCAGGCCGTAGTGTTAGACAATCTCGTACCCAGTGCATGCGTTTCCATTTTTTGGCGCATGCGCAATTTTCCGGAAGCGAAATATAGTCGATGAAAATAATGCTTTAAAACAGAGTTCTGTGTTCACTTCCATTTGAAATTAAAAATTAAAAATATCAGGAATATTTTTTAATTTTTGGCAATTCTTTGAACTCATGCGCTCTTATACCGGAAGTCCAAGAAATCCTGGTCTCAAAAAATGGATTATGCCAGAGCCCTCGTTCTTCGCCGCAAGCCAGAGGAAACGCAGGCTCTGGGTACGAGATTGAGTGCTAGAGTATCTCACATATATGGCACATGCGCGTTTATAAGTCTATCTTTTTTTCTGTTTTTTTCTTGAGACTGTGACCAGACGACCTTGGCATATATATTGGCAGCGTGACGTTTATAGTTGCACTCCCCTGCTATAGTACACATACAGCAGCATAGTATTTAGGGTGCTTCAGCGGTATTAGCGTACTAGTGCACTGTTCAATACACGGGAAACACTCATTCACAATTATGTTTAGAAAATATCATAAGTTAATTATATTATGAGCATAATAACTATTGTATATATCATCTTTAAAATTAAAATCATCTTTGATATCTTTTCCATTTTTTCCTATTTTTTTCTCCACCTTTTTATATTTTTTAAAAATCATTTTTACATTTTTTATCAAGAGATATTGAGAGAGGTTTTTTCCCTTACTTCCTTCCTCTCTTTCTCCTTCCCTCTTTCTTTTCCTTTCAAATATCAAGCAAGATAATGATAGCGTAGTAAATTATCAAACGCCAGTATTTTCAAAAAAATTACCTCAACAGCGCACTACTAGCTCTATTAGCAACAGATTTTTCTGATCATTCTAGAAGACTACTTTGCTAACGATTTTTACTAATTTTCAATTAACCCTACAAAATTATAACATTTTGATGTACAGTACGTGAATTCTATTGGCGTATTACGTTACAAAATATTTCAATTCATTCATGCATGTCAGAATGATTGACGTGTAGTAAAAAGCACTCGAATGATTGGATTGTTGGCCCGTCGTGCGTAAAAGATCGCGAATTTCTTTGCTTACATYGATCGGGATTATATTGTCGAGATGGAGGAATTTTGACCCTTTCTTGGGTATCCAGCGAAGATATCACAGAGTCTAAGCTCTGGACTCAAGAATGGCGAAGTGGGACTCACGGAATTTAGAAATCCGGAGTAAATCTGTTGAACAGACTTTGATTCCGTTAGTGACACAGGTTAGGAAATCAAACAAGCCTTCGATCTTGATCAACATTTTACCTCTGTCTAATAATTCATACCTTTGTCGTATATTTTCTTTTCGTTTTGTTCCTCTTAAACCTTCTTTATAACGTCCAGATAAGCTAATGCGTATTGGAAAACTACATTTAAGTTTTGGATCGAAGTTGTAAAAGTTTTTTTTCTTGGTTTATTTAGATCACTACTTTGGTGAATCACAAGGACCACTGCAAGAAATCAGAGAAGGGAAGACGAGCTATAAGAGAAGTCGGAGAGATTGTCAAAAATGCTGTGCTTAAGTTTGTCACTGTAGGAGAACAAATAGCTAAAGAAAATGAAGATGTTGCAGCTGAAATGAAAGAAGCTTGTGAGGAAGCAAAAAAGGCCGGTGAGGTGATCTCGCGTTTGACCTCAGAAACAGCAATGGCTCCCGCCACAACTGATAAAGACGATGGAATTCCATTTGAAAAGACTGCAATGGTTCGAGCAGCTCGTTCCCTTCTATCTGCAGTCACTAGGGTACTAATCATAGCAGATTCAATCATGATAAAAAGACTTCTTGCTGTCGTAAAAAAGGTAAGAGAATGTTTTATTTTTAACTTGTTTTTCGTGAAAATTCCAGACTCTGAGCTTATTAGTGACGTTCGTTCTGTCAAGGATTTCTTCGCGCGAAATTAAAGTAGTTAATTTTTAATTCCTGAACTTTCCAGAAAGAGTAAATACTCTAGTATATTATTATAATTAAATGGAATTATTTCACAATAAATAAATGTGGACTTTAATATAATTTGTCCAAGTTGTTTTGGTTTAAAGTTGTGAAATTTGAGCCTTAAAATCACAGTCTTGAACAAATTATTGAACAAGTTCAAATACATTAATACTCTACTTTTTAAAAAAATAATCAATTTTTTTATATTTTATATAATTATTCTGCTCTCTATAGTAATATTTTTACACTCATTATTGTTCATAATTTTACTTTGTTTACATTTCCTTTTAATAACCATATATGTCTTTGTAAACTGTATTTCCAGCTCTTGTGCATTGTAAATAATGTAATCAAATATTGACCATGCTTTATGTTTGTACAATTATGCGTTGAGCTTGAAATTACTCCAAAATAATTTTTTAACTTTCTGTTTTGATGGGTTTGCGGTTTTCATTGTCATGATTTTAAATAGCACTTACGCTTGTAGAGGTGGATATTGGTGTACTTGGGACTATATAGTTTTCTAAAGCACTTAAATCTGTGTCTGTGGTCAGATGACCACAGTGATAGACTATACTGTACTTTATTCTCCATTTATAGTTAATGAACTGTTACGAAGTGTACAAAGCAGATCCCTGTTGGCAAAATATAGATGTACCTCAAAAAAAAACACCAAACAAACATAAAAAAAAAAACAAATAGACTTCACTGTTCACAAAACAAATGACATAAAAACGTTCAAAACGGATAGCAATTCCAAAACCACGTGGTTATTTTAAACAAAAATTTTCAGTAGTTTTGATAACGTTCTTTTGTGTACACTAAAATTTTGAGTTACAAATTTTTACATACACCTACTTGAAAGAACGTTGTCATACGAAAATAGAACATAAGTAATTTAGTGGGATAGGAATTATATTAAAAAACGAAAGAAGATCACTGAAGCTGAACTTTTTCTTTTGTCTTTTAATGTATTCCTTTCTCACTAAATTACTAATGTTCTAATATCGTATGACAACGTTCTTACAAGTAAGGATACATACACAAGTACTAAAAATTTCTCCTTTTTTTTTTGATCATGAAATTCTTCAAATTCTTTCTTCAATTTTGCAATGATAGAAACTTCCTTCTTTTGTTTTTACTTACATTGTACAAATATTTGAAGGATAATTCTGGCTATCTTATCATATTCTCATCTTTTATTCTTCAAATTCTTTTGTTTACTTCCTAATGGTTGAAATTGATATAACAGATGTTTGTTTTTTCGTCCTTATCATTTTGAAGTTCCACCTCGTATTCCATCATTTTGAATTTTTTTCAATGCAGTTTTTCCTAAAACAAATTAATGYCTTGAACCACATGAAGTGAATCATAAAAAAAATCTTTTTAAAAATTTCTTTTGATATTGTTAGAGTAAAATTTTAGGCCACCCATATTGTTTAAGTTCTATCTCCAATTACGAGAGACATGCTGGGTGTTTGCTATGTTATGAACTATTAAAATACTGAACTTACATAGTACACTTATAATTGACCCTTTCTATACACAAATCAAATTTATTCTTGATTGATTGAGCTTTATTACCATAATTTTTCAAAGTTTATTTACAAGATAATATTGAAACAGGTATTGGTAATAACTACTCAGAATAGCTAGACTAATCGAGCTGAGTAGATGCTAAGATTAATTGAGATATAGTAGGCCATAGTTATAAATGATAATAAAGAACAAATCATATATAGTAGTATATGATCAAACAGATAATGAAAAAATATAGATGTTTTATTGATAATTGAGAGAATGATAGAAATACTGTCTTATTCAATGTAATTTTATAATTATAGATATAAAATATGGATGTAATATAATTATTATCGATCTATAATGAAAAATGATTGAATCTTTTCATATTAGATATAAATATATATTGTAAATACAATACAGAAAAAAATATGCAAAATTAACAGATAATATCTTGGAATAAATTATTAAAAAATTCTTCTGTTCTCCATGACCTGAGAACCATGTATGTATGCCAATAATTGTGAGGAATTTGGTTTTTCTGAACGCCAATCAAAGGGTGCTTCCACACTAGGAAAAGTTTTGCTTGCTTTACCAAAAAAATCTGTGGTCATTGTGCTGGGACTAAAGTGGGGGGGGGGGGGGGGATTTTGTCAGCTTTTTCCGAATGCACCCAAAACTTGTCATTAATGAGAACTGAAATGTAAAGTTTTTAAGAGACATGCTCGGAATGGAATGGAATGGAAATAATATAAATGCCTAATTGACTGACATTCCCAAAAACCTACTTTGCAAAGCTTCTTCAATGACAAGCAGGATTCATCAAATTGAGGCTTTAGTGTTCTATTTTATATATTTTCTATATGGTGTTGTGTCTACTAAATTATACCAATATTCTCACCATTTTTCATATTATTTTTTATATTATTAAAATATGCAACTAATGTATGACTTTTGTCCCCTAAGGTTGACGAACGGTTAGCAAACCTGGAAACTGTGAACTCCTTCACAGAGTTTGTGCAGACGTTTAGTCAGTTTGGTGCTGAAATGGTCGAACTAGCACATGTCTCAGGTGACAGACAAAATGTAAGTAACTGGGCTGCTACATTCTTAGCTTCTTGAATAGCTGGGATTGAAATCTGTTTTTAAGAAGACTTAAAAAGTCTAGAACAAATTTACCATATTTTGTCACTAGCTGAAAGGGAGTCAGAAAAAAATCTGAGTCCCTGATAGGAATCAAACCCATGACCTTCTGAATACTGGTGATTGGATGTTATGAGTACTGAGCTAAGACTCATGATTTATAAGTGGTCATTTACTGGGTTTATTAATGACATACGGCCTGCACACTTCTAGGTTCAACACATCCATATTCAATTCAAATCTTTCTAGTAATTTGATGGAATATATTTATTTGCTAGGAAAGTAATTAAAGAATTGATTTATCATAACTTGAATAATCATTTAAAATAGCCTTGAAAACATTCTTGGTTATTTGTGGAAATTTGCAAATGTATAAAAATTACGATCCAGAAATAAAATAGTTTTGAGGAAATTTTTTATTTCATTTCTATCTCCATAATTTTAAAGTAGAGATAAAAAAACTTGTTTTTAATAAAAGAAATTAAATAAAATTGTGAATTTAAATATCATTTATGACACCAGAAATTAAAAAATTCCTGCAGAGTATCACTGGAGTGAAATGTTTTTAATGTTTCTCAAAATAGGTATTTTTTTACCACTTGAATTGTTTTTGAGCAATCTCCATGATTCCTGGAGTTTATTACACTAGAGAAGAACAAGGGAAATGTTGTGCATCACTCAACGCCTTTTGATTGATTAACCTTCACAGCTGATGCATGGCTTATTATCTTCTTTAGTTTCTTATCATACTTGTAAACCAGAATCAAATCAAATCACTTCAGCACATAACAAACAGACACAGGAAGAGCTGTTGTAGATAAAGGATCACTCTTATCTCACCTTCTCTAAGGCAAATCCGAAGGCCCTGAATATTTTGAAAGGAGGTCACCTAAATATTTTTAGCCTGTGGGGTCAGAGGAAATGATGGGGAGAGGAGTAATGTATTAGGTATTGCAACCTGGGTTGGGATTTTGAAATTTTATACAACAACAATGACAACTTATTTTATTTAATGACGATGGTGATCCTAGAGGGAGGGGAAGGGTACAAGTGGTACAAGTATCCATCCCCCCCCCCCCCCCMTTTTTAAATTCAGAGGGTTAGGGGGTTAGGGAAAGATCAAAATTACAGAGTTTGTATGGAAGAAAATTGGAATTTCTGGGGGTAGAGGAGGGGGGTCTGAAAATAATTCCTCCGAGGGGGGGGATGAATAATTTCTGGAACTACACATTTTTGATTATATCTCCTTTCACACTATTGGGGTTTTATATATGTTTTATATATATTTGTTTTTAGGATTTAAAAGATGATGTTTTACGTGCTGAGATGTGCTGTGCAAGATCTGTTCTAGAAAAATCAACAATGATGCTCTTAACAACATCAAAGGTTAATATTATTTGCAAATGAATTTTACTATGATTACGCAGGGAGTGATTGGTCAGTCTCCAAAGCCATAGGATCTCATGACTAAAGCACCTGACGACAGATTAAATCTAGAAAGTCCTGTTTTTGGAATTTTTTTTAGAACTGTTGATTTTTGCAGAGGGAGAAAAACTCTACTCAGATAAGACACTGAGCCCAGAAATTGAAACCAGATCACATGGGTGTGAGGTGGCTGCATCTTAGTAGTGCACACCACCTGTACTTTTCATAGAATAGGGAATTATGGTAAACATTGGAGATAGTTCTAACTTTTCTTGGTTGCCTTTGATAGGCATGACTCCTCTCCTTGGATGTAAATTAGAAAACATGCAATCCATGCTTGCTGTATGCAGTTACTACTCTTCCCAGTAGACCGAGGTAGTTGTGATTTTTTAATTGCCTTCGTAGCGTCTGTTATGTTATCCGCAAGTACATTTCAAATCGACCACGTGATGCCAATTCTGTACCACGAGGATAACTTTTTTATACCACGTGATTAAAACTTGACTGAATTTTGGTAACGTGGTGTAAAAAACATGTCCTCGTGGTACAACATTGGCATCACATGGTTGATTTGAAATGAACTTCTGGATAACATAACAGACTCTACGAAGGTGATTACAAAATCACAACTACCTCGGTCTACTGGGAAGAGTAGTATAAAGCATAAAATAACTGTTGTAAATCTCACTTTCTGATAGGTTTTGGTTGGCTGTTTTATGAAAGCACCTAGCACTTGTGCATACTTTGTATTTTGCTATGGAGTTTCAAATTTCTTTAGAAAACTGTATTATTTATTTTAATTTTTTTTGTAGACATGTCTGCGGCATCCAGGTTCAATGGCAGCAAAATCCAATCGTGATGGAGTATTTCAAAAAATGAAAGAAGCTATAGAAACAATCAAACTAGTGACTGAAGATAAGCATAAAAAAAGAGAAAACAAAGACCCATGTTTTGCAATGGACCTTAAACATTTTGAAGTAAGTCTGACATCATTTTACTTCCAGGGCGAATAAGTTAGGTAAAGTCCTCACACTCAATGTCTTGAATGAATAGACAATTTGCTGAAGGAAGCAAGTGAGGGATCAATGAAAAAAGAAATAAAGAAAGGAATGCATGAATGCGTGAACAAATGAATGAATGAATGAATGAATGAACACATAAAGGAATAAACAAATGAATGATCAAATAAAGGARTGAACAAATGAATGAATGAATGATCAAATAAARGAATGAACAAATGAATGGAGGAATGAATGAATGAACACTTAAAGGAATAAACAAATGAATAAATGAATGAATGATCAAATAAACGAATGAAAAAATGAACACATGTAGGAATGAATGAAGATGGAATGAATGAAGGAAATGATGAGTTAATAAACCCATTGTGTAGGTCTAAAAATTATCCATACCCCCAATTAAGGAGGAATTTTTTTAAGACACCCCACTACCCCACAGAAATTCCAATTTTCTTCCATACAAACTCTGTAATTTTTGTTCTTTCTCTGACCCCCCACCCTTCGGAAATTCTAAATTCCTCTGTGGGGTGGGTATGGATAATTACTGGAACTACACATTAAGGAACTATTTTTACAGTTAGTTTCTTGATAATGATCAAGGGATGTCATCGAAATGTCAAAATCTATCTGTGTTTGTTTTTCTGATTAATTCAATAACAAATGTCAATCTTATACATTAAGGAATGAACGAGTTAATGAAGAAATGAGTGAATGAAGGAATGATTGAATCCATGAATGAACAAATTAATGATTTAAAAAAATAAATGAAGGAATCATGTAGAGGTCTTCCCCGGCATAACCTTCCTTAGTCTGATACAGAAGGTGACTACATATAATCTCCATTATGTCCCTGATATAAGAAAGACCCATTTAAAGAAACTTTTTTTACTATTTTTTTCAGAACTCGTTAGAAGAATTCAGGAAGAGTTCCCCTGGACAAACAGAAGCTAAGATTAAATTTGAACAAGGACTGGAAAAAATCTTGCTGGATGTGCAACCATTTATTAACTCTTCACATACAAGAAAAGAAAAGAGAGAGACAATCATTGCCTTGTGTGAGAATGCACAGGATATAATGAAAGATGTTATAGAAAAACACTCCGAAAATGAGGTGGGTGGTTTGTTGGGATGGTGCCGATGATGATAATGATACGATAGAATTATGGTTATGATGATGATACAATATAATGATGATGTTGGTGATGATATTGATATATGACTGATGATGATGATGATACAATATAATGATGATACATCATGATATTGATGGCGATGATGATGATACAATATAATGATGATGTTGGTGATGATATTGATATATGACTGATGATGATGATGATACAATATAATGGTGATACATGATGATATCGATGGTGATGATGATGATACAATATAATGATGATACATCATGATGATGGTGATACATGATATAGAGGATATTACATGGGGGCACGGAGATACGAATTTTATCTTCGAGTGTTCAATTGATATCTCACGAGTCAGCGCAGGGAACGAGTGAGATATCTAAGTTGAACATGAGAAGATAAAATTCGTATCTCCAAGCGGCCATGTAATGTTCTGTTTATTATATAGATATCGATGAAACTTAAATAAAACAAAAGCTCAAAAATTCTTTATTACAATACGTTACTATGTCAACAGCGATATCTTCACGTGTGAAAGATATGGTATCTTCCACTGGTGAAAGATATCAAGTTTTCGACACTAGAGAAAACCTGGTATTTCATCGATATCTATATAATAAGTTAATATCATATTCAGGTTCCAGCAAGACGCAGCAGCTGTGCTGATTCATTAGACCTTGCTCTTCAAAGAATATTCAAGATCTCAAGTGACCTTAAAAATGAGGTAAAATATTAAAGCTTATATAGTTCTATAGATCTCTTTAGTTGTGATGTTCCCCCACCCTCTTAGGTGATGTGGTCACCCTCTATCTTGAGTCTTATTTCTTTATTTACTTGAAGTTAAAGACTTGACATTCTCTAAACTTACTTGTCTCATTGCTATAGACATGTTTAGCTGTGATCCCCACCATCCTCTCTGCCCCTTCACCCCTTGAGCTTTGTTTCTTGCAAAATTAGGAAAATGAGTATTACAGTAACAGTTATAGTAAAAAGAATATTTCTTTAGGTTCGCCAAGTGGCTATGGATCAAGTATTTGAGACCTTTTCACATCAAGGACATAAGAAGTCTCTGCCTGCGCTGCGGAATGCTGCAGCAATTGGTGATACCACCAATGTTGAGCAGGCAGCCACTGCATTCATGCAAGATGCGAAACGACTAGAAGAGGTAAGGTGGTAAAATAAATGAGGCAGGGAGAAGACAGAGAGAGAGGAAGAGGAGGAGGAAGAGGAGAAGGAGGAGGGAGAGGGATTAATTGAATAGACCCTATTGCAATATTCAGTCTTTGGGATTTTGTTAAAATCTAGTTTTAGATAATAATTATCCCTAAGACATAGTTTTGTAAGGGTTACAAAGGGGAGGGAAAGGCAGAGGTAGAGGAGGAAGAGGAGCAGGAAGAGGAGGAGGAGGAGAAAGAGGAGGAGGAGGAAGAGGAGATAGCAGGAGAGGGAGAGGGAGGACCAGGGGAAAGAGGTGATAGAAGGTATACTGTCATAACACATTGCTTTGAAAACCTCTCTCTAGGTTTCTCAAGTCACAAGAAACATATCTTCAAATGAAGCTGTGTCGATCACAGCGAGAAATATCGAAGAAAATATCAAAACTTTGTGTCAGCAGGTAGTATTTAAAGGCTGAACATGCCACTGCTATATGCTGCTTATCTTTTATGGTTTAAAAATATAGGCAAAGGTCATTTGTTGATCACATATTTATTAGATATCAGTCATGATTTATCACGAGGAGGAAGGAGGTAGGAAGATTTTAGGTTGCAACATAAAGAATAACTGTTTCCTCCAAGATACAGTATATTTATGAGCAACCCCCCCCCCCCTCCTTTCTTATTTTGACTACTTCCTCATTTTTGTGTACCTACCCCTTCCCCTCCCCCTTGAAACCAGTCCATTATATCTATTTTCATAATATGCAACTTGAGTCTTATTTCGATGCAAAGGCACGGCCACCTTTCAAAATGGCGCAGGGAACTGTTAAGGGACTATATTAAATTGTATAATAAATTTGAAATTAAGAAATTAAAGCAATGACAGGAACGTTAGACTCAATACAAAAAAATCTCTTCCTTTGATTTTTAGGTCATAGCGGCAGCCAAAACTCTTTCTGCTCATCCTGTCAGTAAAATTGCTCAAGARAACATGGATGTGTTTATCGACATCTGGGAAGGACAGGTTGAAGAGTTAGGCAAGTTGTTAAGAGGAATAACCACTGGTGGAGATCTTAGTAAAAGTAAGTTATCATTTGTCGTAAACCTCTTGGGCGTGATGTTTTTTCCTCATTTCAGTCCATGTGTCATTCTTTTGAGAATAAGCTTCTTTGTTTGAGCTGTTTCTATATTCAGGTCTCTAATCATGTGCAACAGTTAAGCAGAGAAAATGATACTTTAGGGAATGACACGTCGTCTGAAATGGGAAAGTATTACGCCCAAGCTAAGCAGGTTCACTGCAACTTTATTTTTTTTAAAAGAACAATCATAACCCAAGTTTTTCTAGAGGCACAAAAAATCGAAGCTGTAAACGAGACATTAAGATCTCTTCTTCAATTCCCTAAAAATTCCCAGAATTTAAAATCAGCTAAAAAAATCTCTAATAAAATAATGTTAAAATGGGTTAAAACTCTGATAAAATATTGAAATCAATCTTTATAAGATGTTGTCTTTCAGTGTGTTGCCAATAAAGATAAATTGCAATAAAAAGAAAAGAAAAAATGTATAAGTATATACGAATAAAATAGAAGAAAAAATGGTCTCAAAATATATAATATTCTCTTTACAGGAAAGTCAAAAATAAATTCAAGAAATCTAAGCGAAGATATTCGAAAACTCACCTTAAACTGTTAACATAATTTAACCTCATTAAAAGTTAAAAATGAATTTATTATAGCTTTTTTTCTTGCAATAATTTAATTGCTCTAAAACGCTCTTCTTTAAAAACAAGTGAAAACTGGGAGTTTTAAAAACTTTGAGTGAATGGAATGTGTTAGTCTGTTCTCTGATTGGTTAAGAGGGAAGCCATTTCAGTGAGAGTATGGAATAGTGCGCTCTCTGATTGGTTAAGAAGGAAGCCATTTTAGTGAGTGTATGGAATAGCGCGCACTCTGATTGGTTTAGAGGGAAGCCATTTCGATGAGTGAGCGGCAAAGCGCGCTCTCGTATTGGTTGAGAGGGAAGCCATTTCAGTGAGCGAATGGAATAGCCGGCTATCTGATTGGTTGTGAGGTGTGTGGAAAAGCATCGTCAAAATCAAAACCGATCAAAAATATCCACTTAAAAACCCTCATCATCCGGCGTTTTGAATTTGAATGAAATAAATCCTTAACTAAATGCTTTTGTTTCAATATTTCTAATTACAAAAAATTGCATATTTATGGTCTTTGTTCTTATGTAAAAATTGTATGTTCTAATTAAATAAATTAAACGGAAATTTTAAAAATAAATTTTAAAAGGGGAAGTCAAAATAAATACCGATGCAAAACTGACTGGTTTTGTTGCATGTTGCTTATCAATCACTAACTGAATTATCTATCGGCATTATGAGTGCAATCAGCGAAAGCATCACAACAATTTGCAATAGTCCCCTTCACAATTCTCTGCGCCATCTTGAAAGGTAGTCGTGGCTTTGCATCGAAACGAGACGAACGGTGAGCTCGCAATGATAGAGACACGTGAATAATTGTCCAGGGTGTTAAAAAAGGTCTCTATCATTGCCACCTGTTCGTCTCGCTTCGTTGCAAAGGCACGGCTACCTTTCAAGATGGCGCAGGGACCTGTGAAGGGGAGTATTTCCCTAAACTTTGTCTGCGCGTTTTTCCAGCCATTTTTTATTTCTGTGCTGACACTATTTACATATGTTCCAAATACATTAAGTTTGGTATGCAACATCAACCTTTTTTTTAATAGCTGTACCTTTAGACGCACTGTTGCCCTGCGTTACGTTACGTGTTTGCTTGTCGATTCTTGGGCTATCTCGCCTTTTCTTGCCTTGCGTTTGTGATTTGTTATACCGTTGTCTTTCTTTGTGTCATGTTGCCCGTCCTCTTACCTCTAATTGTCGTTATCTTTCGCATTATCCATGCGTTATTTTACATGTACCATACCGCGTGACGCGTTGTTACTTGTCTTGCGTTACGCTTTTTTATGTTATTTTGCTGTTTCTTGTGTCAAGTTGTGATAATATATCAATAAATGTATGTGTAATATRTGTAATATCAAATCCAACTAGTGGTCTATATATCACCAATGCTGCGTTCTCATTGGATGAGCTACTTMTAAGCTATTGATGGTTTTCACAGCCGCCATGTTGGATGAATTTAATGAAAGAATCGTCATTAGTCTCCTTTGTTATATCATCCAACATGGCCGCCGTGTCTATTGTTATTCTATTACCTTGGGAATGAGAGCTAAGAGTACCGGCTTTGAAAAGCAAAACCTTCGACTAACTTTAATTTCAAAACTTGTTTGCATCTATATATTTGACCGATTTGTTGGATTTGACTACATGATTAGTCACCTTGCCCTCATAACCTATGAGTCAATAGCCCATTCAGGTTCGATGACTAATTACTAATTATATGGCTCTTTAATAGCAGCAGGTAGGGGGACTCGCGATCGATGCCAAAGATATACGGGTTTAACTCGCGGATTTACGAAGACGGGTACAGCAGATTTATCGCAAACGGAGGTTAAAATATTCCTTAGATATACATGGCCACCATCAACGACATTCAAAACAAAACTGTGCGCAGGCTCGGAAATCAGGTTAGAAGAGTGTATGGATTGTCAGTGCCTCGACAACCATGTTTCGACTACCTTTTTTTGTGTCCCAAAAGAGTGCATTGCTGTCCCAAAAGATGCCAATCCGCATCCAAAAAGATGTGCAACCGCGTTCCAAAAAGATGTGCGATCGTGTTCCCAAGAGATGTGCGATCGTGTTCCCAAAATATGTGCAACCGTGTTCCCAAGAGATGTGCGATCGTGTTCCCAAAAGATGTGCAACCGTGTCCAAAAATATGTGCAACCGTGTCCCAAAAGAGGGGCTGCAAACCACCGCCCCTATCGACGCCGCGGTAGCTGCAACAAAGTTGCCACGTGGCCCGGTAGGCGAACTTCCCGTATTGTCTTTTGCGCGCGGTAGAGGCCTTCCAAGATTTCCAAAAGTATTTGTATTGTCCGTTGCTTTCCCAGCACGTATGCAGCTATACCAGTGGCTATGTACAA